CAGCTTGCTGGCTGCTTCTACCTCCCTCAAAGACTGGAGGGAGAGCGACTTTGGTGGTAAATTTCGCTTTGGCGACAGTTCGACCTTTTCTTCTGTTCGCCGTATCTGGCGCGCTTACGCAGAGGCTCTGGAAAAGAAGGACCAGGATCAGTACCGAGCGGATTTTGAGATTGCCCTGAAACATACGAAGAGCTTCAAAGATGCTGTCATCGGAAATGACGGATCGCTGTACAGGGCTGTCCATGCAGCTTCCCCTCTTGGTGTACTGGCCAGCGAAGAAATCAAGATTGCTATGGACTCATGGTGGGAAAAGGGCACGACCGGCATGGTGCCTGCCAACACGAATATCCCCAACCCTCTCTTCGCTCTCACATTGTCAGAGCACCGTGTCCTTCCATGCGCTGCCGACCCGATCTTGAGCTATCACCTAGCAACAGCATGTGCTTACGTCACTGAAAACTCGGATATTCATTCTGAAAACGCACACAAGACCGCTTCTTCGCTCTCGTTCGCTGCAGCTGCACAGGAGCATTTCTCGGAATGGTCTCAGGCATTTGTCGATACGGCATCGAAAGAATTAACGTTGCGGTTCATTGCGGCGGATGACCTATCACTTTGTCATACCCTCCAGCACCACGTCGAAACAGGCCAACTGTCAGGGCACTTCTATCGACGCCAGTTTACCATGGAGCAACTTCAACTGGATCCTGATGAGTACGGGCTGCAGTCAAAAACCCCGAAGCAATTCGATGTCATTGATGCGTCGGATCTGGAAGATTCTCTGGGAGCATTGAACATCCTCGTTTCAGGAGGGCCGCTACTGAAAGCGGTGCCGTGGGCTACACTTTACACCGAAGCAAGGATCGGAGGAAAAGAGGCAGAGAAGACAAAGTTCAAGGAACTTCTCTGCGGGCCAACTATGACCGTTGCAACTCTCCTTGGTATCAGCCCCGTGGAGTATTGGACCAATGCCACAGCAGTCTCGAATATCGACGAATACGTGATCAATATGTCCTCGACCCAGTTAGCGTCTGAGAGACCAGGCATAACATGGCGTTTCGCTTGGAAGTACCATGAACACTTGAGTGGGCAGACCGGTCAAGTGCCGCGGCTCAAAGTCAAGGAGGACACTCTTGTGACTCTAATTTACAAAATCTACCGAGCCATGTTCGCCAGCGAGGATATGATGGGGTTTCTGAGCCTCGCCGGGGATCAGCAGAACACCACGCTGAAAAAGCATGCTTACCCGAGATATCACCGAGGCAGTCTTATTGCGTTCACTCGAAGGCTCTTGCAAACTGTGGACGCATCTAGTGAGGCAGTCTGTCGGAAAGTACTCATGAAGATCAAACAAGACTCGAGCTTAATGTTAGGCCCAAGGTTCTCACAAGCACTTTCTTTGGAAATGTCACGGCAGGGATTATTTACACTGCCAGGACTGAGCCAAGATATGCAGCGAGGATCTAATGGCCCTTTATTCTCGAAGTGGTCTGTTGTCCCCGAAGCTGTGGCCGTTACTATCTCGATTCCTGCGGTTCATTGGAAGAGGTTCGCCAAGGCAGCTCTCGAGGCAAACATTGGGTTCACGGTCGAGGGAGGTCTAAGGGGTGTTCAAGGAGGTGAGACTACGTGGCACCACATCTTCCCTGATGTACAAGTCACGTTTGGCACCATCTCAGTCACAGGCGATCGACAAGGCGAGGATTTCACAGTGGCTGTCGAAGAGGATGTTCTTGCATCTTGGTCCGGAAACTCTGATATGGTTGCTACGTTCTCTGTGCCCACCGCATCCCTTCAAGTGGACCCAAGACACATCAAAGCATCTCTCTGTCTGCAAAATGGAGTTGTGCAGGTCTCCTATTTCAACACGAAGCTCCAGCTGGGAGATCCTACGACGGGCGAGCCGATGATCATTTTTGAGACCGACCTGGAGGACAACGGTCGCGTTTACATCTCTAAGAATCAACCAGGCCTGAGCGGCTCAGCCCTTTACAGCAATCTTGGCTCTAAAGCCAAGCAAGACATTACTGAGAATTGCAGTTCTTCCTTCACCGTGGATATCGATGAACCTGGCGGTATCACCGCTATCACCGGCCGCCTGGACGTACTTACACCGAATGGGAAGAAATTGCTTGCTGACAAGGCTGCTGTAGATGTCAGGAAGATATCGCCTTTCGTGTTTGAAATTGTTGTCGGAGAAAAAGAAGCGCTCTTCCAGTTGTGTTTCCCTGTTCCTGTCATCAAAGATGGTAGCGTGACGAGGGTCGCAAGAACATCCGCATATGTTGAGATAATGGCACATGTGGCCGACCCGGCGACATCTCAGACTCTACATGATTTTGTGTTCCCAATCACTCTGTCAAAGTCAGGCTCCAGCCCCAGTCTCGGACAGGTCATCCCCGTCCCACTCAATATCCCACACGTCAACCTCGACAATTTACCAGTGCTCGACGTTACTAACAAGGGGCGCCCGGAATTTCTGACAACTTTGACCTCATGGACCTTCAGTGCCCGAGAACGCAAACTTCGCGATCAAGCAAGCAGTTCCGGGCTGGTCGCGTCTACACGAATGAACTTCAAAGAATCGATCTTCACCTTATTCATGCTCGCATCGGGCCTGCAAGGCGGCCAGACAGGACTATTCGCCATAAATCACCCCGAAAAAGGAGGCATCCACATGCTTCTATTCGTCTCCGCGATCCGCTTGGACGGCGCGAACGCCACTGCCGTACTCGACGCGGCCGTCATTCCGTTCACAGTGGACATTATCAGAGGCGGCAAGCTGGAAGCCTTCCTGCTCATCCTGCGGGAGCTGGAGTGCTGCACCATCACCGTGGACGACGACGAGCTCGTGCTGTGGAAGAAGGTGCTGCCAGCGCTGGCGGAGCGGTGCAGGAGCTGGTCCCACACGCCCGAGTGCGAATACGCGAAGCCCGGCTCGACCATTCCCCTCAGCACCGAGATGGGAAAGCAGGTGCTTTGCAGCTGTGGGGAGGGCAAGCTCCCCGGGAACTTCCTCAGCCTCCCTGAGTGGGATGTTGCCGCCCACTTCGCGACCCGCATCGCTATCAGCCCGACGTATGCGGTGCCGTTCGTGGAGGATGTTATTGACCCCAGCATATCCCAGAGCTCGTCCGGGTCGGCAATGGGTGTTCAGGGCGACCAGACGCTCCGGTGTAGGAACTGTGGGACTTTGGAGGCCAAGGGCGGCGGCCCGCTCAAGAAGTGCATGCGGTGTCTGAAGGTGAGGTACTGTTCTCCCGAGTGCCAGAAGAACGACTGGAAAAAGCATAGAATGGAGTGTGGTGAGGCAGGAGGGAAGAGAAGTGACACAGCCACCGCTACCAAGACGGAATAGATGGGTCGGGCACTGGCAATAATATCCCAAACCCTGTTGTCTCCAATTCAGACCTTGTCGAGCCCTTTATAAAATCAACTGACGATGGGCCTCAACTAGCCGTGAGGAATGGGTTGCCCTCAAAATCTTGGCAGCCAGCAGCGAACAAGAAAAGTCATTGAAGGAAATAGGCATACTGCGGGAACTATCCAACGATCCCGACACTGCCGAGGTCTACGCTGTGCGCTTGTTGGATGATTTCTGTCATGCAGGGCCTAATGGACACCATAAATGCCTAGTGTTTGAGTTGTTAGGTCCTAGCCTCGATAATGTCATCAACAGCTGCAATCCTCTGAATGGCGAGCCTCGTACTGTGGATGATGGCATTGATCCTCGCGTTGTACTTCGTGTGTCGAGGCAGTTGCTCGTCGCTTTAGCGATCCTGCATAAAAGGAGCATTGCCCATGGCGGTAAGATTGTCTAAGCTCTACTTCGGCCTTGCTCAGAGCTCAGGGGAGAAAAGTCAGATTACTGACTCATACGCCCAGGTTTAGATATCAACTCCAATAATATTGCCTTCAGTGCGAGCAATATACGCAACGCCTCGGAGCAAGAAATTTCGAGAATTATCGGAACTCCAGTCGTCGAGGATCTAATCCGTGAAGACGGACAATCGATTCATCCTAGATTCCCTAAGCACATGGTGAGGAGGGCAGAGTGGGATGAGTGGTTGGATGAGGACGAGGAAGACACCAGACTGATTGACTGGGGCGAGTCCTTTAGAAAGGGGGAAGAGCCTTCACGTCTGGCTCAGCCCCTTGATTGCAAGGCCCCAGAAACCATACTCGCTGATCAGCTTGATTATCGCACTGATTTATGGGGGGCTGGGATCGTTGTACGTCTCCATTTTCACCATTTCTCGATGTTGATATTCTAACAATCCTTCAGATATATCACATGGTCTTCGGCTACAGACCCTTCATGACACTTAAAGGGCGTGCATCACTTGTATCACAGATGATCCATTTCGTGGAAGATCTGCCTGATGAATGGGTGGAAACATGGGTAAAAATGAAAGACGAATCTCCAGAGTTATGTGATGATGACACAGGTCGGCAAATCCTTTGCATATAGTCCCAGTCTTACCATGTTCTACTTGACTGGATACTGAGCTAACATGATGTTCTCAGCCGAGATTCGAGAGACTTCATGGCTCGAGCAACAGTTTGACAATCTTGTGGAGGACCCCCGTGATCCACCCCTCCGGCCCCTGCTGCCTGTCATCAAAGGGCTTATGAGATTCCGTCCATCCGATAGACTTTCAGCTTCACAAGCTCTAGAGCTGCTTTCCGAGATTTGAATCCAGCTTGGAATTGAGAGCACAGACGTTGATCGTCATTTGTACTTCCATTCTGGATGAATATTCAGTTGCTGGAGAGGTCTAGGCTTGAGAATAACGCATGTAATAATCCAGTGGTAGGTATCACTCCCTATTATCGATCTGAAGCTCATATATCCACTAGATTGTCATAAACATCACTGACGACCGCTGAGAGACCGTACCCATAGTCATAGTCTTCGTTATGCCGACAACCTTGAAAATCCGGCTGAGCGTGGTTGTCGGATTTCTATTATAAAACCCTCTTGACATCAGATCTGGCATGGTCGGCTGGCGCAATGGTAGCGTGTATCACTCCTATTACAGAAGCGATGATGAGGTTTTGGGTTCGAGTCCCAAGTCGATCGACCATTCCTTTTTGCCTTCCTCATGTCGTGGCTCAAGCGGCTAATGTGTCGAGAAGCAAGAATTCGCGCTTTTGGGAAAAATTAACGAGTTAGTGGCGGATTTGCCGGACGTGTGCGGAGTCGGTCCGGGTCGCTGGCCAATGACTGTGCCTGGCCGGGTCTATGGGCTGCCGGACTTCACACCATCACTTGAGGTGTTGTAGGATGTGTAACGGAAGAGTGGGTGAAGCAACGTTGTCAACAGGTTGTATCACCAGCCACAAAAATGACAAGTCCAGTCGCAACTGGCCCAGGGAAATGGCAGATGGCTGGATCCGGGGAAGTGGTCACGCACAGCCCATTTTTGGTAAGCTGTCTTTTGTTAATTACGCCACGCTGTGTCACCCAGTCGACATCAATCCTCCCTCCTCTCATCAACGATTCAGTTAAATCATTCCAATTTGGCACTGGGTCAGGCACGTGCTAATCACTTTTCGAAAGCACATCGAAAAGGCTAGTGTCGACCCAGTGGGGAGGGCTTGGGGCTTGCCCCTGACTCTCGGTTGTCGGAAGTGCAGCTGACCCTCCTGCAGCCATGTAATCCACGAGGCCCTGACGGACGTAATAAATGAGACAGGTGGTAATTAGGTCAACCGAGGCATTATTTTCATTTCGAGATCCCTCATTGGCAACGGAAGAGTGACATCATCCACAGGTCTGCTCTGGGAGGCCGGCTGGCCCTCCCTCTGTCAAGAAGCCGTCGAATGGTAGGAGGATCGCAGCAACTTTCCAGAATCTCAGCAGTCATTAATTATTGTCATGTGGCACAGCAACGGCGAACCCCAGCTTCGGGCCTTTTTAACGTTGCAACTAAACTAGTTCAAGAAGGACGCTGTTCTTCCGGTCACCATGACTTAGATGATGATGTGAATGAAGCGAAGGCCGCGGAAGCAAGGGGCCAGTTTCTATCTACGGGATCAAGATGTATTTCCGGTATATTATATTCGCTTTCGATGAGCATCTCGCTGTCATTTGTCATATTGTGGCTTATATAATCACGAGAGAAACAGTCAAGCCACAGTATGGACGGGACTCGGCCCTGCCCGTTGTTCGGATTTGGACAGCTTATGGCCGGCAGCACACAAGGTAACAATAAATCAGATGTGGCGCACCTGCTGTTTCTTATTCGTCCGAGCCGGGGAAGCTTCGAATTATCGCTATCCCGGTTAGACGACCCTCTATTGGTGTTGGAAGGGTCGTGACAATGTCAGTCACTCCAGGACTGAACCCATGGATCTCATCCTGTGTCATTCCGCCCCACCGCATGGCGAACGTCTCCTGATGCTTCGCGGTGGGATTCAAAGACACTTTGTGGGCGATCAAGGGAGGATAGAAGCCGCACACTGTTCATGTGGTGATGTTGGGGTTGAATGTGGGAGATGCAACCCACGAGCATGTGGTGAAGCGCGTAGGCGGAATAGAGGTGACAGGAATTCACAGACAAACGGTGAAGCGAGGTTGATATAAATCACATAGTTCACAGTTGGCAGAATATGAATCGTGAACCCGTTGTGTACATTTTCATTTTCCAATCCAGTTTTTGACGACCCCATCGTTTCGGTAAGGGGACAAGTCCAAGATGAAGTCGCTCATCAATCTTTTCGCAGTCATTCTTCTCTGCATCGTCCCTCCTGCCCTTTCTAGGCCCAGCCATGGCATTGCGCAACGTCAGTCAACCGACAGGCTTGTTTTCTGTCACTTCATGGTGCGTCTTCTGACCTTCGACTTGGTGTTTCCCATACCCTAAGGACCGGCTTGTCAAAGATTAACAAGATGACAGATCGGCATCGTCTCCGACCGCACTGGCCCAGCGGACTACGATGCAGACATGCAGAGGGCCAAAAACCTCGGCATTGATGCGTTCGCCCTCAACATCGGGGTTGATCCGTATACTGACCAACAGCTGGGGTTTGCCTACCAGTCTGCTGCAAACAACAATATGAAAGTTTTTATTTCGTTTGACTTCAACTGGTACCACACAAGCCAGGGCACTCAGGTTGGGCAAAAGATCGCCCAGTATGCCACTACCTACCCCAGCTCTCAGCTCCTCGTCGATGGCAAGATCTTCGCCTCGAGCTTTGCTGGAGACGGTGTCGACGTGAACGCGATCCGCACTGCTGCAGGCGCACCGATCTTTTGGGCTCCCAACTTCCACCCAGAACAGGGGACCAACTTTAGTACTATTGATGGTGCACTGAATTGGATGGTGAGTTCTCTCACTTTGCCCAGTCTGAGGGTATGATTTGGGACCCTGACTCACAGCGTCCAGGCTTGGCCGAATAACGGTAACAACAAGGCACCTACGCCTGATCATAATGTTACAGTCGAGGAAGGCGATGCGGCCTACATCACAGCGCTTGCTGGCAAGCCTTACATTGCTCGTGAGTGAATAAATTCACTGATGGAACTTCTGGCACATTCTGACACTGCATCAGCCGTCTCTCCATGGTTCAGCACCCATTTCGGTCCGGTAAGTGAACAGAATCTTGACTGCCTGCTCTCAAAATCCTGGCCTTGAGTCAGAGTTGGTGCTTTGAAGCTGATCCAGAAACATTCATTTAGGAAGTGCCATACAGCAAGAACTGGGTCTTTCCCGGGGATTTGCTTTGGTATGACAGATGGAATGAGATCCTGACCCTCGGTCCACGTTTCATCGAGATCGTCACATGGAACGATTACGGAGAGAGCCACTATATCGGGCCACTGTCCTCGAAGCACACGGATGATGGCAACTCAAAGTGGACCAACGATATGTGAGTAAATATTGGTGCAAAGACCCCGCAGGTAGAGTGCTGACGTCTTCGCAACTCAGGCCTCACGGTGGCTGGATGGACATGGCGAAGCCTTTCATCTCGGCTTACAAGGACCACGCCACTTCCGCGAACTCCTATGTCGCATCCGATCAGCTGATCTATTGGTATCGACCAACACCAAGGGATATCAACTGCGATGCCACAGACACCACAATGGTCCCAGCGGACAACAGCTCGGGCAACTACTTCATGGGCCGTCCAAACGGCTACGAAACACTCGCCGATGCTGTCTTCGTCGTTTCCATGCTGAAGACGGCGGGAACGGTGAGAGTCGTGTCCGGAAACAATTCGCAGTCTTTCAATGCGCCCGCTGGCATATCGGCCTACCAACTGGACATGCAAATCGGCAAGCAGCAGTTTTCCCTGGAGCGAAACGGCCAGACTGTCATGAGCTCCGTGAGCCTCAAGGACATTTCTAACGTCTGCCCGTGCGGCATTTACAACTTCAACCCGTACGTTGGAACTGTGCCAGACGAGCCCTCTGATCCACTGGGGCCTGATGGTCTGGCTTCATTGACGGCTGGTCTGCATGTAACCACCTGCAAAGCTACTCCATCCTTGGGAGTGCCGACAACTCCACCATCGACCTCTGTCACAACGACGACGACAACTTCGACATCGAGCCCTACATCATCCCCGTCAAGCCCTACATCATCTCCAACAACAAGCACGTCGACCACGACATCAAGCCCAACAACAACACCACCGTCGACTACCAGCTCAACTACGAGCGTCACTACTACTTCTACGTCTACCTCTAGCTCCACGTCTTCTGCGACTCCGAGTCCTAGTGTTTGTAACGCAGGCACCGGTCCAGGGAATTACGTTGGTTTGTGCAGCTTTTGCTGCAACTTCGGCTGTAAGCTCTTCACCTGTCACGGATCCCCGTCTTTCATGTTTTGAAATGTTCTAGAATGCAACACTTTAGGATTCGTAGCAGGACTAACTTCATACTTAGACTGCCCACCGGGACCCTGCACTTGCACATCTTACGGTGCCCAGGTCAACCCACCGCCGGAGACGGGAACAGTTGGATTACCGCTGCAAGGGGAGGACGACAGCTATCTGGGATTATGCAGCTATGCGTGTAATCATGGTTATTGCCCGCCAACAGCTTGTCGCGTGGCATAGTAGTTCGGCTACTGTAGCCATCGTTGATCCTGGTATCGAAGGTCTTGGGCTGGGAGAAATTGGAGACTCAGAAAGTCATGACTGTCTTTGGCCGCATATCGAGGAGACTAGTTATCACCTGTTCCTCAAATTATAGTGGTTTTCATACAAGGCAGAAATCATCAAAGAACTCCGCGTCCGTCATACCGTCAAGCCCCTCCCCTGACATGAAACCGTGTAGAAAGCTGTGCTCGAAAGTCAGCGATTGTTAAGATCAAAGCCTTTGGGTCGACCGTGTCTCACCATTCGCCAATCAGGTTACATTTGGCGTCATTACCAGGCTGACTCGAGTTGAACTCCTTGGCTGCACTTGTCTCGCGAACTGCGAATAAGACCTCACCGCCCAGGAGCACGGCAACTGTATCGCCTACTCGAGCCGTGGCATCAACGACGCCAAAGCGCCCCTGTTGTGAGATAAAGAAGGCCTTGCCGTATAAGGCCCTATGCATGGCGTCCTCGAATATCTTGGCCAACTTCCGGCCTGAGTTAGGTAATGAGAAGGAGTTTGTACAGGATGCCCACCAGGCATTCCACATCTCCTGCACAGTACCTGAGTCCAGAACGTGTGGTTTTGAACCTTCAGGGCCTTTCTCCCGATTTCGTAAGGATACAAGTGTCTCTGGAAAGGCGGCAGGGACGTCGGGCATCTGATAATCCGAAAAGTCTGAGTCTTTCTTGGTCGAGGCAAGTCGCCAAAGCCTTTGGATTGTTGCTTGCCTTGCTCGCCTGTTCTTGAAGTCGTTGTATTTTATCCTCTTCGAGATCAAGGCAATGCGGTCCAGAGCTCTTCCCTTGACTGTGAGAGTATCACCCTGGATCACTGCATGGGCAGTGGTGTTCCCAGCAGCGAAGTACTGATTTCTTTGCATTAAGTAGTGTGATCCGCGCAGTACGGTCCAGTCAGGACACCAAGTCGGCATAGTACTGGGTGTTTGTGTGTTGCCCGAGTTGTGGTGAGAAAGGACATCCAAAGTTCCT